TTGCAGCAGAAGTGACACAGATGTCTCCTGAGACTGATGCAGAAGATATTTCAACTTCTGTCCCTTTAAATGTCTGCTTTCGGGATGCGCTTCCCTGTTCACTCCTTCCGGGAAGCCAGCTGTGATCTATGAGAAGCTGCAGTCACGTGGAGTTCTACGTGGAGACATTGTGGCTGGTAGGCTCCATCCACCACTGAGTTCAGCCTTTGAGTCATCACAGCCCAGAAACTAGACAGATGAGTGAAGCCACTTTCAAATGAATTCCTGCCTCCAGACAATCAGATCTTCCAGGATGAGGCCCTAGAGGCGACGGAGCAGGGACAATGATCCCTGCCATGCCCCGCCTGACTTCCTGACCCACAGAATCTAGGAGCCTAATAAAACTAAGTTTGGGGTGATTTATTATGCACAAGCAATAACAACAATAGTTAATAAACAGTCCAAAAAATCATTACTGTGACTTTGCTTCCTGATCCTAGGAAGACGGACTGGCTAGTGAAGAGCCTCAGTGAATTAATTTAATCTAATTCTGGCCTGATACAGTGAAATATACACATGCTCTAGGACGGTAGCTCCCTAGTTTGAGATTGCGGGGGGGAAAGGACCCTTCCCTTCATGGTGAAAATTTTACCACTGAAGGAATTACCCGGCTGGTCTTGTGCTGGATTTATAAGGCTACACCCACAAATATTCAAGAGGTTAGATTAGCTGGGATTAAACTCAGAGGGATGCTGGAAGGGCACCAAAATGTCTGCTCTCCTTCCTGCCCAATTTGGTCCACTGTAAATAAAACCTGACAGGCTTTCTTAAATCAACTTAATAATGTGAAGCACAAGTGCTTTCAGATGCCCAGTAGCTAAACCACATCAGCTTTCTGAGGAAGCCTTCTAGCAAGAGGCGAAAATAATAATGGATGCTGCCAAGAGGGCCATGCACAAGAGCGCTGGTGGCCTTGAGTGACTCACTTCCCAGGGCTCCATCCATCGATCCTGGAAGGTCAGAGGGGGAAGGAGTTGGGGTTTTAATAACCAAACTCCAGCCTCAACTGACTCGTGAGAGCCAGATGCTGTCATGTTGGAAGCAGATGAGAACACAGTTATAATCGATCTGGAATCCTGATGAATTCCAGGTGCACGTCCCAGCAGCCTGGGGGAGCTGGTAGCTCAGAGCCCTCAGAGGGCATTATTACTGTCATAGGAGGCTATTCTGTTGCAGAGTCTATGGGGCCTTGGGACTTTTCCCCTCTGGTTTCAAATAGGAGTATTTTTTTTTCCAGAGACAATTTCTCAGATATATCAAAGGATATAATAGAAAAAAGTAGGAAGACCAAGAAATTTGAGGAGATCAAGGTCAAGGTTCCTAAGGAAATTGGACTAAATATGGTGCTTATAACTCTCCAGTTGATGTCCTTAACCAGTAAGTGCCGTTTCATGACCCAGCAGATTGCTAGCCATGGTCCATACCATTTGAGAGAGAAGAGAAAGCATGACCAGGATCCCAAATAGTTTCACGGTGGCTGGACATCGAGGCACAGCACGGGAGTCCAGCCACATCAGAGGAGCACCTGCCCATTTTCCAGGCCTGTTTCTCCACATCCTCCAACCAACCCTTTCCTCTGCACGGTACAGTCAGTTTCTCCTTCTTGCAGACAAGACCCTGAACTAATGCAAACACCAAAAGAATGACCGTGCCTTCCAAACGTCTTTTTTCCCTACCTGCCAGGCCAAACGCTCAAAAATATATATCGCCATGCAACGAAGAACGTATCCTTTTAGGGAAGATGGCGATATGTTTGCCATGTGGATAAACTAGCCAATAAGAACAAACATGACTCCTTGTTCTCACCCTGGTCCTCAATTCAGGGCCATACATTTTCATAAGGAGATGCTTCAACACCAAAACCAGATGCTTTAATTCCATTTGAAAAACAATGAAAGAGAATAGAATTCAAAGAGAAATAACAGCTGACAACAGTTTAGTTTTCATCTACTTGCTACACTCACATGGTCAGGTATGTAACAAACCATGATTAGTACAAGTCTGCCATCTGAATCTATGTAATTACAACTCATTTATCATCATATGCATTGAGGTGCTTACTCAGTAACATCAGGCATAGGCCCCAACCCCCCCCACCCACCAAAATGCAGGCCTTGGGTTCATAGTCTTACCACCATCAGATATCATTCGATTGGAAGTGCTTCCTACTTTCCTAAAACATGTACTTCAGATCTCATAAAACATGAGCAACATTCTTTGGGGGAAAAAAAAACCCACAAAAAAACTTGCTGGTATTCTGATTAATTGAAATATGAGGAAATGGTGTAATCCTACATAAAAACCTATCAAGAGGTAAAAGATACCTTCTTCAATTTACATTTGAACTAAGGAGTGGTAGCCAAATAGGACAGAATGAATTTGTTTTCTCAAGAAATAGTTGGGGGGCGGGGGGAGAGGGAGACCCAGCTATATACATCCAATGGGTGGTCTTTAAATTTTCCTTTAGCATCTGGTGCCATGTTTCAGCACTGTGCTAGGCTGTGCTCTGTGCAAAGGGTCTGGTTACTCTAATGCATACTACTTTATGCAAAAATGAATACTGATGCCTGATACCCCATTCCCCACTGTAAAAACAGGGATCACCCCTCTGAAGGCAATGAATGGAATCCCAACTTACTAGATCATCTTCTTGAGGGCAAAGACTCCTGTGGCCCACTCCCTGGTCTCCTGGTACCTGGCATGGTGCTCTCTCTGCCAGGGGCAGCTCAATAGGTATTACTCACTGACCAAAACCCTACTTACACAAGCGTCTGAGATCATAGGACAACTTTTCCTAATCAGGAACAGCTGGCTCCCAAACCACCCTAAACCCAGAAGATTCCAATGACATTTTGGCTAAAAAGATTACAGAATACACACTTCACTATGATGTTTGAGGGGAAAAAAGATCCACTCACATAAAGATGGGAATAAAAGAAAACAAAAACAGGCAGAGATTTAAAAGACTGGGCTGTGAGTGGTATTACATTAAAAAAAAAAAGATCAATACAAAAACACTGTTTTTACCCTAACACTGAAAAGGTAAATAGGATGATGCTCTTGTGACCTATCCATAGGAAGGAAGTTTTCAGGGACAGACTCCTGCCCTGTCCTCATTCATGGCGATGAGAATAATCCCTTTGCTTGGTCTGGCCACATGCGCACCATGGCTTGAGGTTAATGCAGGCCAATAGCACACACAGAGCCAGCTCTGTCCTTGTCCCTTCTCCCACATGGCACAGCTTCTTGTAGATGCAAATGCCAGCCCAAGGAGAATCAGAACTTGAAACACCCACCATTACTCACTTATAAGTAATTACAGAAAAGAGGCAGATTTTAGTTAAAGCTCTAAAATTTCGAAGTCAAAATTAATTAGTTCTCATCGAGACTAGCCAGTTATTAGATTTAGAGGATTACTTTTTTTTCCCATCTAAGTATACACTACACTCTAAATGCCTAAGTCATAAATGATTCTGACACCTGACAGCTAAAACTCAATTCTACAAGTATTTGTGTGCCTACTATGCATAAGAAAGGCATTCTAGCTAACCTAAGAAAAAGCAAAATTAACATTCCCCTCATAAATTACTGAACTTAATTAATACTGATTCTATACCTTCATAATTTTAGGACATCATGTGGCCTGCAGTATAATCAGATGCTCGTTATATAGCTCATTTTATAACAAGGCTCACTGATAACTGTATAGTACGTGCTTTTGACATGAAAAAGACTTGCTCTTTTCATATATTCAAAGGAGGCAGGGTGGGGGGAATGGCCCCAAGGTCCTGTCTAACTCAGCGTTTCCCTCAGGAGATCCACACAGAACTGGGCCCAAATATCACCCAAAAGGAAGTTCAAAATAAGGCGCACCAAACCCTGATCCTGGCTCTGTCCCTCACCTGGCTATGTGACCCCGGGCCAACAATGCATTGGAATCTTAGCTTATTCTTTTATAACAGGGAGATATTAGTATTTGTCTCACAGATGTTCGCACAGAATCCAGTGATTTCCTGTGTGTACCAGGCACAGACCCTGGCCCATCGTAGGTCCTCAATAAATCCTAGCCGGGTTCCTCTACTCCGGAGGCTCCCAGGAAAGATGGGAGAGAGTATGGAAGTCCCCTGAGATCTGGATTGTAATCTAGCTTCTGGGTATTAATCCAGAAGCATCTGGAATCAAATGGGATTGACAGAAAAGGCACACGGTCCCATGGTAACCTGGGGCTCCAAGTGCCTTCAATTACTTTTGTAATGTCTCCCCTCAAAGCAGCCTCAGATGTGGGGCACATTCCAGGGGATCCAACAGGCACTCTCCTTGGCTCTGTAATGCTGCACACCACCACTAAGGGAAACTGGCTATTATTCCAGTTTTGAGGTCTTGGTACTTTGGCCCGGAACCCTTGGTGTCCTATTATTCACACGTAATTGTTTCTTCTTTTGCCGTCATTTAATTCCCATGGTCAACCATGCATATCCATTGGTTTATTGTTTTCCTGGGAAAGCATCACCTGTTTAAGATTACAAGCTGCTAACATCAGTGTCTATATATATGTGATAAGTTTTTCATAGCATCCAGCAAAGTAATGACAATACATATGATTTGAGGAAAAGAACTATGATGAATGAGTTCATGAAATTTACATGGTGGATGCTCAAGTATCAACCATAATGAAAACCACATACATTTAACAAAACCTGTTTTCAAACTGCCTATGCCATGTTCTCCAAAGGAAAATGAGTACTGCAAATAGTTTTTAACTTTTCTTGGAAATGAGACACCATTCCACTTAAGCTATGTAGACTAAGTTCATTGCTACCCGCTCACTGACATGTTAGAAAAGTAACTATTATACCTCTTACACCCTAGAATGAATAAAAAAATTAAATCATTCTATTCAAAGATGTCCAAACATAAGATGTTTGCGTGAGGATTCTTTTTAAAACTGAAAAGTATCCTACCTCCTTAAAGTTGTCAAATGCTGATAAAATGATTTCATGCCCGCCTCTGACAAGACAAACGGCTGCCAACAGTTCTAACACAAGGGCTTTTGTTCTGTCAAAACAAGAAGAAAAAGAAAAAACCATGAGTCAGTGAATGTGACAAGATGAATCAGCTGTTCCTTGCATCCAAGATCAATATAATAAAATATTTGTCTGTATGCTTTGTAAACTTTTACTAACTAAGGTATACTTACACTAACGTACATATTTAAACCTTTACCTATCTCTAGAATATGTGATTTATCTAGGGTAGCAAATTTGGAAGGCATGTTTCCCACTCTCTAAGTTACAAATTACTCACTAATGAAAATTAATTCTGGAAAGATTCATCTTTTAGTCCCATCATCAGATGACTCAGTACAATGTGGCTGAAAAGGTTATTAGTGAGCTAAAGACAAGAGGAAACTTGGGAATATTCAAGAAAACAACCCACTGTTAAATACTGTCTCTGGTTTTAGAATCAGAGACATAACATTTGCCAAGAAAGTTCAAAATCGATTGAAATTAATGCCCTACATTTCACATCTGCTAATTTGCACATGGCGCCAGAAACATCCCCTACGACAATGCAAGTTTCCATCCTTTCTTCTTCCTCTGCAGGAGGTGTGAAAGGATCTGGATTTCAGCTCTACTAATACGAGAATATTTTCTGTGACTCAAGGAAAGAAAATAAAACTCCATCTGAAATATTTTTAGGAGAACCTAGAGATACATTCCAAGCTTCTTAATACAATGTCAAGGACAGCACTGTTTCTTCATCTTAAGATGACTTCAGTGTTTCACCATTTTCTGGAATAAAATCTATTACTGAGCTCTAAACAAAGACCATTCTGATAACCCACAGCATCAGTTATCTTAAGGAAGATGAATAGTGACTTCCCGTGGGGGAAGACGGGACACAGAAGCATGACTACTTGGGATTCTTGTGAACTAAGGAAGCAACCATGAAGTTGCAAAAGCTTAAACCCGGGGAAGTTTGAAGCCATAATATTAACATCTAAATAGGACTTCTTGCTTTGCACTGCATTCCAGATCAGAAAGGATCTAATTTATAACCAGATTTCTTTACTTGAATTAACAGTTTTCAGATAGGTATTTTACACAGAGGTGTCTGATAAAGGGGAATAACACATTTCAAATGCAGAGTGCCTCACCAGAATGTAAAACATATTAGAATAACTAAAATAAACTGATGAAGGCAGGCTTCCAGAAGTAATCTGTGATGTGAATAATATGGGGCACCGGCCTTTATAGGAAAGTGAATATAAAGTGAAATCTGGCCCTGGCTGGTATGGTTCAGTGAATAAGAGTATCAGCTCCCACAGGGCAGGGTCATGGGTTCAATTTCCAATCAAGGGCACGTGCCTGGGCTGCAAGTTAGATTTCTGGCCCCAGTTGGGGTGGGTGTAGGAGGCAACCAATTGATGTGTCTCTCACATCTATGTTTCTGTCTCTCTCTCTCTCCCTCCCCCCCGCTCTTTAAAAATCAATGGAAAAAATATCCTCAGGTGAGGATTAACAAAACAAATCTGCATGCACAATTATTGTTTTGTTTGTGTTTCACTTTTGGTAATAAAAGCTACAGATCTAAATATTGCAAGTGAAGTGTGGACAAGGGATCATGGTTCTAGTTAGCTTTTGGCAATACCTGGTAAGTCTGTATGAGGACTGGCAACCTGGCAACCTCATGCTTTCCACCAAATTTTGCTAAATTTGCAAGGATGCTGAGAACTAGGTCCCAAAAGAAATGAAAGCTTAAAGAGAAGAGAGAAAGGCTGGAATTGTCACCAGTTGCTCGACTCTGCCACATGTAAGAATCTCACTCAGCTGGTCTACATAGCAAGGAGTCTACTGGTAATCTTATTTCAAAGAGTCACACTTGCAAGTTTCCAAACTCTAACTTTGTTAAGTGTTGACTATCTCTCTGCTTTCCCTACTTAGATTTAAACTTGTACATTGCAAATCAAGCTTACCTTGGATTCTTGTTGTTCAAGCTTAGTGCAATCTCGTTGACAGCATGTGGATGAGACATGACCATGTTGAAGCCATACTGAAATTAAGGTGGAAAAAAATAAGGTATTAGGAGTCAACCCAGAAGCTGTCAATGTTGATAAAAACAACCCCCTAACGTTTCTACCTAATGTGATTTCTGCCATCTTTAAATGCATTCATGACTCCAGTAATCAGTGTCTGAACATATTTCCAGGAAAAGGTTCAGGAATGATGTTACTATCAAGGGGCCCTATTTCCATATTTTATGAATAAACTATATGATCCTCTTTATTAAAAGGGTGAAAAAGCTCCAGCCCATTGATTCTCAATCCAGGCTGCTCATTAAAATCACCTAAGAGAGTAAACAAAACAAACAAAACAATGAATCTCAAGGACGGGACCCTGGCATCTGAATTTTTTTGAAGCTCTCAGAAGGACGCCACCGCTCAGCCAGGATTAATAACCACTGCATCTACTCCCTTCTCTGTGCCATGGCAAACAGGACAAAAAGCCTAGGAAAACTTGTGTGCCGAAACCTTCTACAAAATGAAGCAAGTTCAATAACAGCCTCAAGAATCATTCTTGATTCTGCTGAGTTGAGGAATTATTCCTTTTCCTCTTAGCTCATGACTTTATTTACAGTGACACTGAGAAAGTATTAGCAGAAAAAGCTTCCGAAAGCTTCCACCATCACATGAATCCTCCCCACATAGATCTTCGGATTACCTCCTCACTGCTTCCTCAAGATGAATTCTCCCATGCTCCAATCTAAGGTCAAGTCTCACTTGAGTCCTTTATTCCTGCTCAGCGGAATATACTCCAACAATTCCCCCACCCCCACCATTATTTTTCCCTTTCTAATTCATTGCCATTAACATAAAAACATGATGCAAATGATCTTACCCTAAGTAACAACAACCAAATCTCTCTTGACCAGTGGTTCCCAAACTTATTTGGCCTATCGCCCCCTTTCCAGAAAAAATATTACTCAGCGCCCCCTGGAAATTAATTTTTTAAAAATTTTAATAGCAATTAAACAGAAAGATATATGTATTAATGTTTCTACCTTTTTTGTAAAATATAGTAAAGAAAGGTGTAAATTAGAAACATTGAAGTTTGAAATTATGAAACTATTTATTGAACTCAGAATAGAAAGGTAATACAAAAAAAGTTAAAACAAATGCACCTGGGGCCATCACCGCCCCCCTGGATCGCTGCAGCGCCCACCAGGGGGCGGTAGCGCCCACTTTGGGAATCACTGCTCTTGACCCTACACTGTCCAGCTACTGCCTCATGTCTCTGCTATCCTTTACAGCAAAACTCCAGCACTCAGACTCGCATTCATCTCTGTTCTCTCCTGAAACTCCTCCCATCAGGCAGTTCATCACCACCACTCCAATGAAACTGTTCGTACCAACATCACCAATGGCCCACACTCTCACTCCTCATCTTACATGACAGCACAGCACTGGACACAGCTGAGCACTCTACCTTGAAACATTTCCTGCACTTGGATCTACCTCCCTGGCTACTTCTCAGTCTCTCTAGCTAGTTTTTCCTCAACTCTCTGATATTTAAACAGAATGCTCCATGATTATCCGGGACCTCTTTGCTTCTCTGTGTATCTGTTTACCTCATCCATATACCATCTATTAACTCCCAAATTTGTCCCTCCAGCCGGACCTCTGCTTTGAACTTCAGACGGCATATCTAACCACCTACTAAAGGTCTCTATTTGGATGTCCAAGAACACCTCAAAGTTAACATCCTCCAAAAAGAACTCCGAATCATGAGTCTCAAATCTGCTCATCTTGCAGTCTTCCCCATCTTAGTAGATAGCACCTCCATCTAACAGGTGCCCAAGACAAACACCTTGGAGCCACCCTTCCCTCCTTACCACATATGCAATACTATTGCCTTTACTAACAAAATCAAACCAGAATCTAGCCACCTCTCATCATCTCTACACCTATGATTCCGGTCCATACCACCATCAACACTTACTTAAATTAATGAAATAGCCTCCTAAATGGTCTACCTGCTTTTGTCTCTGCCCCTCAAGGTTAATTCTAAACATAAAAACCAGAGTGATCATGTTAAATTCAAGTGTCAGATTAATTCACACTTTTCCTCAGAACCCTTTAATAGCTTTTCATTCATAGTGAAGCTAATGTCTTCCGACTGGCTTACAAAGCCCCACACAACCAGGAAGCCCTGTTAGCTTCAGATTTCATCGTCTACCTTTCCCTCTTACTCACTCTGACCCATCTAATCTGCCCTCCTTTCTGTACCTTGATCACATCAGACTTATTCCTGTCTCAGAGCCTTTGCCCTTGCTCTTCTCTCTGCCTGGAATCCACTTTCTATCATATCCCTTAGCCTGCTCCCTCGTGTAAGTTGTTACTAAATGTTATCCTGGTGACACTTTCCTGGCTGGCCTATTTAAAACTGAACAGATATTTCCATCACTTCCTATTCCTAATTCCTGATTATTTTTGTTATAGCACTTAGTAATAGATCTCTGGAGCCAGTCTTCATGGGTTCGAATTTGACTCCAGCATTAATTAGCCATATAATGTTGAGCAAATTACTTCTCTGTCGTACTCTCAGTTTCCTCATTAATAAAATGGGGAAAGTAATAGTCCTGAGATTTCACAGGACTGTTATGAGTCTTACATTAATTAATAGGTTTGAAAACACTAGAAGTACTTGTAAATATTAGTTTTCATTTCATCAGCAACTGTATCTGGAACACTATATTGTTTAACACTTTATCATCTATCTCTCTCACTAGAAAGTAAGATCCCTAGGACACTTGTTTATCTAATGCTGTATTCCTGTGCTTAGAACAGGGTCTGACAATGCTAAAAAATATATTAATTGACTAAAAAAATAAATGCATGTTTCCCTTTTTAAATTCCATTCAGCACCATTATGTTGGGCTGGGTTTGAACTCAATTACTGACCCTCTATGTCAGTGGTTCTCAACCTTCCTAATGCCGCGACCCTTTAATACAGTTCCTCATGTTGTGGTGACCCCCAATTTCATTGTTACAAATTGAACATAATTAAAGCACAGTGATTAATCACAAAAAAAATATGTAATTATATATGTGTTTTCCGATGGTCTTAGGCGACCCCTGTGAAAGGGTTGTTCGACCCCTAAAGGGTCGCGACCCACAGGTTGAGAACCGCTGCTGTGATATTTATTTCCCATTTCTTCTTGAGCCCACCTGTAGCATCCTTATAAATGGAAATCAAATCCTATTTTTACATATGAATTTTGTTTTTCTAATTCTCACCCTGGTTAGCTGATCTAATTATACCTTTGACCATGTCCGTTTACCCTAGATATTCCAGGCTCTAACTTCCACTTCCCTGTTACGATTAATCCAACCCCCACAAGGCACTCTTTCTCCCAGTGTTTCTCAGAGTGGAGATAACCTACATCAAATCACCTGAAGAAGGGACCCAACTTGTAACAAAAATCCTCCGGGTGCTTCTTATAGATACTAGGACCCTCCGGGTCCAGCAGACAAGTAATTGTAACTTTTTGCCTGTTTACCACAGAGCCCTTTGAGAACCAATGACCAACCCAGTGTGTGAGTCTACTCACTCCTAATGTTCTAAAGCTGTCCCATTACTGCCCTGTCTTAAATGGTCCCAAACGTTGGTCAAGTAATCTAGACAAGTTTATCACTGTAGGAGGCAAACATCTTCCCTTTAAATACATGATAAATGCTAATTAAAATATCAAGGCAATAAATTAAATCTTGAGCATTAGAAAAAAACCAGACCTTTCTTTTTCAATAGAATCTCATATAATCCTGATATTTACTTCAAACAGAAATAATACAAGGAAACCAAAAAGGACAAGATTGGAGTCTGACAAATTCAGATTTTTTTTCAAGGATCAGAAACACAAACATACCTGATAATTCATGATGGCACGTAAACACATGATGCAGACATGCACGTCATCCTTCTTACTCACTAATCTTGAATTTTTCAAGGTTCTTCTGCTTGGCAAAGTATTATATCTACAAATAAAAAGGGAAACTTCTGTAACACCATAGATTACACTCTTAGCATAGGCACATGCACTTAAAAAAAAAAAAAAGGATGTTGCTCTCTACCTTTACCTGCACTGAATTGAGGATTACAGGTCAAAACCATCAACCATAAACCCATCACCACAAAGCTATTTCCGTACATTGGGAGGACCACATAATTGTGTGCACTGGTCATCATTTGTCAGGCCAGATACCCATGGCAATGAAGCTCGATTTCACTCAACCATATAACAAATCAGATTGTACATGGGATTCAACAACAATCCCTAGCTCCTGATCAGTAGGCCAAGCAAGATGTGCAGAGGTGATCTGAGGCAACATGCATGCAGATTGCATTTGCCAACAAGTGAACAGGTGAAACTTAGCTCACATATAGACTTCCAATCTTTGACACTATTTTAACTGCACCTTCCCATGAGTGCTCTCGGGAGTCCAGTATTCAGAGTTTAAGCCTAGGCAAGGTCATATATTAGCAACTTTGATATCAGCCTGTGATACTAGACCTTAATAGCATACAGCCTGATCCCTCACCTACAGCCTGGTATGGCAGCTGAAACTTGGAGGAGAATATGCTCATATTTCGCAGGATTAAGATGTTTCAATGTTAGGATCCATTCTAGAGACCCTGCATTGCTAAGCCATGGTAGTTCTCTCTGGGGATGTATGAGCCTGCAAGTAGTAAAGAAGTGAAATGTAAAGTAACAGGTGCAAGTGGAAAACATGACAAGGCTGTAAATGACTGCCTCCGAGGACAGTCTCCCCTGCAACTCCGAGCCTGAAATGTAGCCAACTGCAAAAGTTGTCAACTACTAGTTTGCTAAAGACAGAGTCAATGACAGAAGTGTTCCACAAAATAAGCCACAGCCCGCCCTTCTTGAATTGAGCTAATTAAAACTTTAAGGAAGTTATGATTAATATTGTTTTCAAAAGTCCCCTACGTGCAGGCTAGGAGTTGAAAACCGAATTGACAGTTTTGCCTGAAACTATTCAGCTAGTTTAAATTTTATTTTCTATTAAAAAAACCATCCAATGGAAGAAAGATGATTCTTTCACATGAGCCCACTAATCAAATACATTTTTTATTTCAATAAGTCCCTTGCCTCAATATACCTGAATATTTAAAATCTGTTTGTCTGTCATGCCAGTTATAAGAATGCTTTACTCAAGGATTTCCCACATTATTCACACTGGGAAGTAGAATTTCAGCAATGGAAATTGGCCTAACTCATTTTTGAATGCAAACACGACGTTAAGAAAACAAATTCAGATTTTGATGTGTGTAAGCCCAACTTCAACATCTAAAATATGGCTTTAAAATGTGTCACTGTGCCATAACCCTGGCTGAAGCATGACTGCTAACTCACTTAATGGAGTGTGCACAGAGATTGATGCACCTTCAAAAAAATAACCACACACCAGTCTGACCCAATATATGTGATCTTCTTAGTCTACATCTGAAATTCTTTCCCTTCCTCTACCATTCCTATTTTAACCTCAGTTTTGTGTTTCTTCATTGAAATCACTTGTTAGGTGTATAATAGTTGATTAGAGGGGTAACTGTCATTATTAATTAAAAGCAATTACTACTAGTTTCAGGGTAAGTTTAGAGAGAAAGAAAAGGTGATGTCGAGGGAATCAATTTTCCTTTGCTAAATTTTATTCCTGTGCAGCAATGACTGCAGAAGATATACTGACCAAAGCAAACAACTCTTTAAGGAAGGTGGAACAGGCCAGTCTACAGTCACATATTTCTGCATCACTTCAAAATAAAGCTTAATGACTCCAGAAAGTAGATCAAATTTACACCTTATGGTGTTTCCTAAGAGATGTAAAGTACAATAGCAAGTTCCTTACTTTTATTTATTAATCTGGTTCTTCAGCTATATTGTAATAAGACTCTAAAAAGCCAAAATATTATCCTAGCCAGTTTGGCTCAGTGGATAGAGCATCGGCCCATAGACTGAAAGGTCCTGGGTTTGATTCTAGTCAAAGGCACGTACCTTAATCCCTGGCCCTGGTCAGGGTGTATGCGGGAGGCAACCAATTGATGTCTCTCTCTATGTCTATCCCCCTCCCTTCCAATCTCTCTCAAGATCAATGGAAAAATATCTTCAGGTGAGGATTAAAAAAAAAAGTAAAAAAGCCAAGTGTCTTTGTCATTACTTGCAGAGAACTAGCACATGCATATTTATCAATATTTAAAAAAATTAGAAAATATACAATATATAAGATGTTAATAAAAAACAATGTATTTTCTTTATTAGTGACAGTCTGTTAAAAACAATAGAGCTAAGCTTTTTACTAAAGTGCATGGTATTTAATCTAAAACTATTTTTCTCCAATTTTTGTTCATACTAAAATAGAGTGGGTATTAAAGGCAACAATTGAACTTACGTTTAAAATCATTGCATTACAATAAATACAAAACCACCACCACAACCAATAAGAACAAAAATCATAGCAATGACAGCCAAAGAGATCTGTGATTTCATTTACACCAACCTTTCCTGATACAGATGAGAAAAACGAAGCCCAAAGAAGTCAGCTCCTCATAGCAAATAGAGGGAAGAGATGAGATGAGATCAGACCAGATCCCACATCTCCTCACCGGGATTCAGGGCAGCCACTTTCTACAAGTTGCTCTCAGTCTGACTCACTGACACAATCTGTCTGGTTATCACGTGAAAAAGCTACCGCCCACAGCCATACGCGCTGACAAGTTCCTTGCCAAATGTTCCCATCCTGTCATCTTGACAGCGTTTTCGGCTTTGGCCCTCCATGGGTATCATTCTCCTGGTGATCACTTCACCACTAGGATTAAGGCTTCATTTACTGTACTGAGAACAGCAGCATCTGAGCATCTTCAGAACACAGTGGCCAATCCACTTGGTAAGCAACGTTTTCAAATCTTTATCCTCTATCACTAACCAGAAAAGTGAGAACTTTTTTTAAATTAATAGGAAATTTTGGTCTATACTATATTTTTGAAACACTCATTTTAAAGAATTTTCTCCCATTAAATAAATGTACCTGATTAAAGTCACAGCTCTTTACCTCTGCAAATACAGTATTTGCCAAGGACTTAGTTTAGGGTCACCTTAAACCTGCACGGTTAGCATGCACATTAATCTACTCTTCAGCATTCATGTTTTATTGAATTTGACAGTCTATATAATAAGATATTTGGTTTATTTGCTTTATCATCTGAGTCACTTATTACACCTTTTTTTTTTCTTTTTTGAACAGGTTTTAAATTCAGCTGCAAAGTGATACTATCCAAGAAACCCATTCTCATGAAGCTGGTTTTAATGAAGTCCACCAAGTTGACTCCAAAATCCCAACCACAACCAGATGCATTAGGACTAACAATTGGCGCAGCCACTTCACCACAACAAAGACACCTGGACAAGGTGAGAAGCACTGGCCTCTGGGGCTCTCTGCCAGCATCAAACATCCAACAAATCTCTTGTCGAAGCCCCAGAGCTTGTTTTATTGAGCATTTACTGTTTATATTAGACTCTCAATGCTAAGGGAAAATGAAGGATAAGGATGTTGCTTTGGTCCTCAATGCCTTACCATCTAGGGTAGAAGCAACAGATGATTAATATCGAAAGCCTTTGTATTACGATGTGCTTTGTCCACACCAGCCCCAGCCTACCCTGTCTGTCACATACACATTATAAATGTGTAAAATAAGCTCAATAACAATACACACACCTGCACAGCACAACATGTAGGAGTGAAGACAGTCACACCTTCTCAAAGGAGAACTTTTTTGCAAAGCATCACAGTTAAAATCCCCATACAGTCATTCTTCTCTGAACCAAGGCAGACTTAACTGAGTTAATATAGGCTTACTCTTGGTAACTGTCTTTAGGCGTATGAAAGCTGTTTTTAAATGGGGCTCTCATTCAAGAAATAAATATAAAAGGAATGGAATGAGTATCATGGAGGTGACATGACAATGAACATAACTGGACGTGAAATATTACCAATGTCGATTCAAAGCATACCTGTCTTATGGTTCCTTGAATGGTGAAATTACAAGATACTTCCGTTCATTACTTCTGTCTATACTTAAAATGTTCTACAATAGATGTGAATTACTTTCCAAATAAAGAAAAAGAACACTGCATAAAAAAACTATTGTGGAGGGTATAGGTTTACATCCCCCTAAGACAGCGGGCTGGCTGGAGACTGTGACCATAATGCTTTTCCAATTTCAATCACCAGGCAGGATGTTTCCTAGAAGGCCTCTGAGGTGGAGAGCGGCCCCTGATCTACCCTCATAAAGCACAGGTTAGGGTTTCTGTGATGAGGCCCAATCCCACCACAATACATGGGACAAAAGAAGCAAGTATCACCATCAGAAAAATGAAGCCTTAAAAATCCGATTCCCTGATGCTGCGAATGTCCACCTGGAGGTCAAAAAGCCAGAAGACAATGATGAACAGTTTCTACAGAAAAAGGATGAGGGTAACTGTAGGGCCACAAAATTCTACCAGGTGTATGAGTCACGCTGATTCCCTTAGGTAGCACTGGGAAATCACAGCAATAATCGGCCACCAATTAAAAATTCAAACAGCTCAAAAGAAACTAGTCACAACTGCCAAACATCGTATGTACAAGGTGCTGTTGCATAATCATGTTAACACTAGTAGATATAATTCAACATACTACCTCTGAGAGGGTATGTAAGGCCGCCTGCAATCCGGTTCTACAACAGAACCCTTAGGCTAAGCTCTCTTCACCTTTCACAAGCACTGATCTATTTGAATACACTTTCCACAAAGACCTGAGCTTTAAGGGAATTAAGCTGGTGACTCAGTAGGAGGTAAGAGTAAACTAATACCCTTGTTCTAATCACGTGTTCTGTTAGACAATTACATAAAGTGAAACGAGTTCCTATAATATTTCCTTCCTGAAGCTACTATGAAACTACAGATAGAGACTATTTGAACCGAGCC